ACACACACACACACACACACACACACACACACACACACACACACACACACACACTTCCTAGGCTTTGCATCTAGTCCTTCTGGGACAGCTTCCCCTCAGACCTTGTTCAACCTCATGAAAGCAAAGCACCTCAGGGGCCCAGGAGGTATCTCTTCCAGACAGTAACAGCCTCCTGATGGAGCCTGTCCCTTCTGGATGGAGCGCCTGCTGCTAAGGAGATCACAACTTGAAAAACTAGTACCACACGAGCCTCCATCTTCAAGACTCAGGCTTGACCAGTCTTCGTAATAGATGACAACTGAGGGTCTCCAATACAAACCCAAGGCCAGCCACAGTGTTCCCCTCTTTGTTTTTGTTTTTTTGTTTTTAGCAGAGTTGGCAGAATGAAAGCGTAAAAGCCACTGCCCTAAAGAGATTAAATTGTCAAACATAACCAGAGAGTAATGATGATGGAGTGTGTGTGTGTGTGTGTGCTTGGGTGTGTGTGTAATTGTGTGTGCATGGGTGGGCGTGTGTGTGTGTGTGTGTGTGTGTGTGTGTGTGTTTTGGGTTGAGGAGAAGGCAGAAGAGTTACATAAATCCCAGGATTAACACTGGAGGGGGTGGACCCAGCTTGAAACAGAATGCCAGAGGCTGGGCCACTCCTTAGCTGGAGCCTGTTCATTAAGTTGTAATTACTCTGAGAAGAGCTACACAAAGGGCCTCCGATGGTCTAACACCTCTGGTCCTGGGTCCATCAAGGAGCTGCTGCAGGCCCCAGGGCTTACTAAGCCCAGCGTGACTAAGGTGACTAACATTACTATAATCCTCACCTTTGGATAAGGCTTTTGCCTCTCTGAATGCTTTCAATCTGCATCTCCTCGTTAAATCCTTACTCCTGACCCTCCAGGCAGTTAGGAGAGCGTAATTAGCTTTGTCTTAAAGAGAAAGCAAAGCACTGAAGGCCCTTGTTCTGGGATAGAGCTGGCACCTGCCATGAATGCTGGGAGTGACTGGCCCTCTGAAGTCCCATGCCTGCAGTCACAAGCCTTAGCTGCTCGCTCATCCCTGGTTTCCTCTTCTGGTAAAAAGGCAATTGTGTGGTGTTACGCCGTGTTCTGAGGACCTCTTGGCAAGAGCTGTTGCAATATGGCTCTGTGTCTGATGTTATGGCTAGGGTCTCTGGCATCTGGCTGCTCAAGTCTTCTCTCAGATATCACCAAAGTCTAGCCATAGGCTGGTCTCTGGGAATGTGAGGAGGGGTTTACAGAGGTGAGCTGTTCCTACCATGGATAAGACTTTAGAGCAGTAGAAACTCAAACTCCAAGTCTTGCCTTTCTACTGTTTATGAACTGACTGAGCCAGGTTACCCCTTAGAGTGTGTGTGTGTGTGTGGGGGGGGGGAGGTTTGCAACGCTATTGCACAGGCGAAAACATACAAGTGACGCAATATGAACTGCAGAATGCCACCGGGCATTAAAGTGCGGGGGAGCTTGCTCAGTGGCCAAGCACTCGCTGGGCAAGCATGAAGCCTCGAGTGTCCATCATCAACACTCACATAAACGTGGTTGCACACACCTGTTAAGGCAGGAGCTCTCTGGCCAGCCAGTCTAGCTGACACAAGCTCGCTCACTAGTCTAGGGCCTTGTTTTTCTTCAGTGAGCCTTTCCCACTTGGAAGCAGCCCACATAGACGGAAGAAGCCCTGAGGACGCTGTGCAAGCGTGGGGAGAATTCCCAGCGAGGAAGGCATTAACGGCTGTTACAGATTTTAAAAAAAAAGTATCTGGAAAGAAAATTCTAGCAAACGGCAAGGGGAGAACCCCTCTATCATCTCTGGAATTGAGCACAGGAAACCCCGCCCGAGGCCTCCCTTTCAGAGGCAGCCTGGAGAGGCAAAAACCGCAAGAAGGGCACTAAAATTATGCCTTTCGGAAATTCTGACTCACTCGCTGTGGGGCTGTTTGTGCAAGGCAAAAATGTCTCCCAAAGAGTGAAGTTCCCGCTGTTCCCACCCCTTCCTCTGTGGCGTGTGTCTCCACCAACACTCATGGAGGAAGCTGGAGCCCATTCAGTGAGCCCAGGAAGTTCCTCGGTGCGCTACACACTGGCAGCTGTTTGGCCAGCCTCCCCAGCAGCTAGCTCCTACATTCCGTAGGTGTGATTTCCTGTTTGTTTATGTGTTCGGCTTCCACGGAAAGATTAAGGGGAAAGTACGGATGGCTCTGCTAGCGTATACAGCACCTTCGTATGAATGAACAAAACGAAGCAAGAGAAGAGGAAAGAGGTGCCCTGTCCAGAAGTCCCAGGAGTGTTAGCACGGTTCTGCAAATGTACGGTTCTGCCTGTTGGGTTTCAGACACGGACAAGCAGCGGAGGGGCCTTGTCAACCAGCACCCCTCAATTCCTACCTGTTAGAGGGGGATGTGGCTGGCACACCCTGCCCTCTACTTTGAACTTCTCAGCCCAGGGACAGGGGCTTCTCCTCCCACTTTACTATACAATCCAGACATTTGGTTCCCCCCTCTCTCTTCACTGTCTCTTCTTTCTTCGGTTCCTCTCTCTCTCTCTCTCTCTCTCTCTCTCTCTCTCTCTCTCTCTTTCTCTCTCTGTATGCACACTTTTATGTCTCCCCCTGCAAGTTGACTTCTCTGGCCCTGTTCTTTGCTAAGAGCTGCATATATAGTTTAACTTGCCTTTGAATTAGCTTATTTCACACACACACACACCCCAAAAGAAAGATATCCCCCATCTCTTCTCTGACTTCCCTTTCAGTGATGGATTATGCAATAACTATTGGCTAGGCACATGTGAAAAACTCTCACTGGGGTGTCCCTTTCTGGGATGCACAGAAGTCCTTCTCTGAACACTAGGAGAGTCCGTTCTCCTCCCTACTTCGCTCTCAGCGTCGTTTTTTAAATAACTTTGTTTCTGACTTCTGGTTTTCCAAATGTTACTTTATGGCTCTCCCCTGGGGTTCCGCAGGAGCCCGCTGCCCTGGTAGGTTCAGTTCTCTGGGTAAATTGCCTTCCCTGTGGGCAGCTGCCTCTCAGCTCAGCACCCCATGGGACTAGAGTTTCAGTGTTGTCCAGGCACACTGACTCACCCTGCCTTCACTGTGTGTGTGTGTGTGTGTGTGTGTGTGTGTGTGTGGTGTGTGTGTGTGTGGTGTGTGTGTGTGTGTGTGTTTTAGTTTATGGCTTTGTGTTTATTCTGCAGTACTGGGGTCAAACCTAGAGCCTCCTGCATGCTGGGCAAGCACCCCACCAACCAAACCATGTCCCCAGCCCTTGCCTTGGTTTTAGAAAGTGAGAATGCAGTGTGAGGTTACGCAGAGCTGGATTCTGGAGTGTCTGACTGGGTTCTAGCTTTGTTTCTGCCATGTCACTTTGGCCTTTTGGGCTTTTTAAAACAGTCATAGGTTTGCTTGTCAGGCTGGTCAGTTACATGGCTGGTTTTCCTGACCCAGAGTCTTATTACTCTGTAGCCCTAGCTACCTTGTGCCTCCTAATGCAATCCAAGCTAATCCGGAATTTGTGGCAATCCACCTGCTTTAGCCTTCCAAGTGGTGGGATTACCACTACTTTTGGGGTAATTTTTTTTCTCCTAGTTAGCTTCGGCCATCAACTTGACATAACCCTGAATAATCTAAGGGAATCTCAATCCATCAGATGGCCTGTGGGCATCTTCTTGATGGTGGCACTTTGGGAGGTACCACTCTGGGGCAGGTGGTCCTGGGCTGTACTATGGAAGCCACCTGAGCAGGGGCCAGTGAGCAAAGTGCTCCAGTGGTTTCCACCTCTGTTCCTGCTTGGGTTCCTGCCCTGACTTCTCTCAGTGATGATGGAGACTGGGCTGGAAGTGAGAGCCAAATAGACCTTTTCCTCCCCAAGTTGGCTCTTGGTCCTGGTGTTTACCACAGTAACAGAAGCAAGTCAGAACAATTTTTTGAAATTAACCTTTTAGGGTCTGGCTCAGTTGGCAGAGCATTGCCTAGCATCCGTGATGTCCTGGGTTAGATGCCCAGCACTGCACAAGAAAGGCATGGTGGCACATGCCTGTGCCAGAACTTGGAAGGTAGAAGCAGGAGAAGGAGAAATTCAGAGTTGTCTTTGGCTACACAGTTAGCCTGAGGTCAGGCTGTCTCAAAATAAAATGAAATGTTTAGTGAGTATACAAAGAGTGGGTTAGTGGGTTTTAGTGTAACACTCCCAGCCCTTTCTCTCTATCTACATATTACATAATTACACTCTATTATATACTTTACACTTTGTTTTCCCACCCTACTCCC